GACCTCAAGGCGGTCATCTGAATCGCCGAGGAACTGTGAACTGCACACCCGGCACCTGGGATTGCGCTGGGCTCCGTGCTGCACATCGTCAGCCCCACCCGGCCTCCCCTCTGCAGGAATGCAGCCGAGGCCGTCAGCAGTGCGGGTTGGATGCGGCTGGCAGTGGCTAGTGACAGACCTGCAGGCAGGGCCTGTGATGAGACCTGACTTCCTGAGCACACCTGAAGTCCAGCAAGCTGGGGGAGAGAACCAGCGAGGGCTCCGGCCCCTGGGGCTCACGGAGTGGAGTGGAAATCCCAGGGAGGAGCTGGGTGGCCCGATAAGGGCGAGAATGGGAGTCTGTGTGGAGTCCTGCAGGGGGTGGAGGGCGGGAGGCTTCTGCCTTGGGTCCCTGTGTGCAGCTTGGGAGGTGCAGTCGCCCCAGGAAGAGCCGAGAGATGTGTTTTCTCAGTCTGTGCCCGCAGCAGGCGGCTCTGAGGCCTGGGTGTCCTGGCACCATGTGTGAGCTCCCCGCTCAGGCACCGAGCTGGCTGTGGGTCACGGGCGCTCACGCCCTGCCTGGTGGCCTCTGAGCGGCCCTGCAAGGGGACCTGCCTACCGCACACCTGGCGCCTCCCTCTAGCCTGTGGAAAGGTGTACAGGTGTTCAGTCCCCCCTTGAAGTGAGATTTGGTGCCCAGCTAATGGCATTCTCATAATCGCCGCTGATGTCCTCGAGGTAGGGAGCTGCTTTTCCTAACTGCCTGTGAAAGAATTTAGCTTTTTACGTCTCCCTCTCCCCAAAAGTCTCATCTCTCCCCGACAAGTACGACTGACGCCTTGGCCCCAGAACCACGCTGTAATTGTGAATTCACTTAACAAGACTCCAGGGAAGGAACTTTTTAGCCATTTTATATAAAATGAGAAAGGCTCTGCTCCCCATTTCCGTCTCCTGTACAGTTGCTCCCAAACAGCAGTTCAGAATTCAGAGATCACCAGGCAATCTGGCATTTCACCTGCAGCACACTTAGCAAAAGTGTGTTTGCCCTCGTTTCTGAGGGGCCTGTTCAACACATAAGCCCTAGGACCTTCGGACATGTTTGATGCTTTCTGACTGAGGATCTTTTACGAGAATAACATCTGAATCCCAAGCTGCTTAAATTTGCCCTTTTATTTTCTTTTCCACTTTTCTCTTACTTTGCAGTCAGAGAACAAGATTGGTGCGATTTCCCCAAGAGCCGTTTCTGTGGCTCGTGTGTGACTGAGCTGGAGCATGGTGTGCTCACGTTTGCGGGGAACTGTGTCAGCCCTGTCGCTCCCGATGCCTCGGGTCTCATGTGTCCTCACCACCTTCCCAAGACTACCAGTAGGTTCCCCAGTGACCGGGAGGGAGCGGAGCTGGGGTTTCCGTCAAGGACACGTTATGAGCATAATTGGTCTGAAATGCAGATGATCTGAAAGGAGCGCAGAGATGGCTGAGTCAGGATGGGCACACTGTCGTCCGAACTCTCAGACCTGACCCTGCATCGTGCACTTTCCACTCGGGTCTGGTGGAAGGAGGGTGCGTGCCATTTTTGCAGGGACCTCAGGATAGCAGCAGTCCTGGTTTCCAGGCAGGGCTTCTGGTCCCCAGTGGCAGCTAAGTGATGTGGCCCTTTAACTCTTAGTCTCCCAACTGGGAACTAGATGACCGCACCGGGGGCCCATGTCCTCTCCTCAGCAGGGAAACCAGCTGGGCCGCACTGGGCCGCAAGCGCATCTCAGCACTTCTCCTGTCCTGTGCCTGGATACCGAGGGAATGGCCACGAAGTTCCCGCCCACAGCTGTCCGTACTGGGCTCTGTGCTGGGCTGCAGCCTGATGCTCTCCCGAAGAGAAAGAGGCAGAAGGAAGGGAAAGCACACTCGGCACGCGTGTCCCAGGCGGGGCCTCCCGCAGCCCTCTGTGGCTGGGTGCCAGGCTGGGGTCTGAGCTGGGCGGCTGGTTTGGAGGCCAGCGCCCAGCACAGGGAACCATGCCGGGTCCCGCCCAGGCCCACTATGGGCCACACACTCCGTCCCTGTCCAGAGAGGGCTGGCAGCAGTGAGGACTGGCGTCAGGGGCCTTCAAGGCGTGGGGAGGACAGGTGCCCGGGCAGAGCAGTGGACAGAGGGGCCCGGGCAGAGGGCAGAGGAGGAGCCTGAGCACCGAGCCCCACCGCCAGCGCTGCCCAGGAGCTGCGTGTAGCTGACCTTGGGGCCCTGGGGTTGTCGGGGCTCAGGACACAGGGACAACCCACCTTCTGGCCGCTTTGCCCCACGTTGGCATTGGCCCTCACTTGCCCCTGCTGGGGGAGTGCGCTGCGCCCGCGAGTCGGGCTTCTCCGCACCTTGGTGTCTGTGAGAGAGAGCACCACGCGCACCCTCGTTGCTGCTGCTTTCCTTGGAGTCACTTTTCCCGCCCCTCCTTTCCTTACAGGTGTGTTTTCCATGTTTTTGGCTGTGTCCATTCCTAACCGTGACCTCTGCAGCTAGGGCTGTACATCCAGCCCTGCACCATGCCCGGCACAGTGGGTGCCCCGCGGGTGTTCCTGGCCTGAGGCCTCCATCTGCCCATGGGGAGCAGAGCGGAAAGAGGTGGGGGGAGGGATCCAAGACCAGTGGTGGTGAGCACGTGATTTGGAGGCTGAGGGGCAGCGGGGAGCACCTGAGCCACTGGCAGGACAGGGGCAGGGTGAGGAGACAGGCGAAAGAGAGCCGGGGGGTGCCAAGTGCGGGGTCCGAGGGGAGGAGTCAGGCCGGCACCAAGACATAGAGAGGTGGTGGATGGGGCGAAGAGCAAGGACAGGTGGGTCCGCTTCGGGTGTTTGGCCTGGGTGCTCAGGCTCTCTGGATGGAACCGCCAGCAGTTGTCTGCTGAGATTCATGGGTCTGGAACCAGGCGAAAGATAAAGATTTGAGGGTCCTCGGCTTATGGGTTCATTCTTCTACACATCCCACAGACACCCACTCACAACTTCCTCAGCTACATGGAGGACAGTGGTGAACAGATCAACCAGCCTGGTTTCCACAAATACCATGGGCTAGATTGGTAGCTGATGACATGGACATGGATAAAATCAGTCGGAGGTGGGGATCCCAGACTTGGGGACCAACACAGGAGGCAGATGAAAGAAGCCAGCGACCGGAGAGGGTGGGGGCTGGAGTGGGTGAGCACTGTGCCTGTCTCGCATCAGCCTCAATCGAGCCTCTCAGACATGCGCCTTGATGTTTTGGTGGCAGGATTAAAGTGCCTGTGTTTATATTCACTCGGCACAGAAATTCTTGTTAATTCTTCCTTAAAATAAGGGATTTCAAAGATTGGAATGGAAGCAAGTATCAGCCCGTAAATCAAGTGACAGAGAAAGAGCAGGAGGTGGAGACACCCGGACCTTCCCATTCAGCAGTGAATTTCCTGGTTACACGTGCGATGAGTCACCCCAGGGTGGGTTGTGGCTGGATTTCCTTTGTGCTGATCTGTGGGATAAACGCGATCTTACGCATGTCCCAGTAAGAAAGAAATGTGATGGTCTGTTTTGCCAGAACCTCTTTAGAGAATGTTTATGTGTTTATTAATGTTTCTACTTCTCAGTTCTCTTAATCCAAGAGACAGTGCCGCAGGCGCTCACTGAATAAAGCAGCTGAATACCTGGGTTTGGGTTGTTTTGACAGGTGAAATTTCTTTAGCACATTTCAGTGAAACTTTTGTCATTGTATTATAAAGCAGTTAATGATTATGGCATATCCTAAAAATTAGAATAGTTTTATCTAAAATACCAGAGATGTGTGTTGGATATCAAAGTTAACTGAAATTTTTTCTTTTAAATCTCAGTAAAAATCTTCCTTATACAAAAACCCATTGTAACCAAAACAAGGATAACTCATCATTCCATTTGTAATCCATCAAAACATAGTGGTTTTTGCATATGTTCATGTGCATGACATTTGATAAAGTGTACTGGGGCCTATTCAGTACCGTATATAAACTTGCGTTCCCCCAGTGATACAGAAAGTACAGCTTTTATTTTAAAAATCCACTTTATCTATGGATCATTAGATATTCAGGTTGGTCTGTTTTCTTATGTTGCATGTCTTAAAGGTTATGTTTCTTATTGCAAAGAACCGTTATTTTAAAAAATCCCTTCAACTAACAACTTCTTTGAGCCAAAGTTTAAAGCAGGTAGACATAACTTTACACACAGATCCTCAACTAGAATCTACCTACAGTGGACACAGAATCAGAAAATTTTAGAGGCAGAGACTTAAAGTACATCTGATAGATTTTGGATTTTTTTTTGCCATGTGTATTTGTTTCTAAATGTACCATAAAATTACCAATGGGTAATTGGTAATAGAGTTCGTATTAATTATCTTAAAGGAATTTAACTATAGTCAGGAAAATGAAGCAGACACCGAATTCATAGATTCATCAATTTTGAACCATCGGTTTCTATTTTCTCAAAAAAATATTAACCCCCCAAAATCGTGTTCTCTAAGCATATCTAAACCTTTATTAGTGTACAAAATAATTTCCTTTTATATTTAATGAAGTAAGCTTGTTTTTGCTATTCTGGCTTTTTCAAATCTCTCCTTGTAGTGCTTCAGGAAAGGATGGCTAACATCTTTAAATCCTGATTGGTTTAAATAAATGCATAACTAAGCCTGATCCGATGTTTCTTCAGAGAGATGTTTTAAACTGTTGTGGACTTGGCTGTCCTGGCTGGTCTTCGGCATGTGACTTTCTTCCCGTTGTGGAGGTCTCAGAGGTCACTCCGGGTAACCATTTCTCTCAGATTATCTTTTGTTTCAGATTTCCTGTTGAACTTTTTTAAACTATCTCAAAAACCACCCCGTTGTGTCACAGCTTGCCATGGCCTCCGGAGTCAGACCCAGAGCTGTCTATGTCACCAAATGACTATGTCCTCCCACGGGAAGTGGGCCCAGGCCAGGGAGGCGAAGGCCGCCCGCCTCTGATCTTAGTGAAACTGTTGTTTTTGTTTCCACAGGACATCTGGGCTTCCAGGACAGCTTCGTCACGTCAGGGGTGTTCAGTGTCACTGAGCTGGTCCGTGTGTCGCAGAGTGAGTAGATTTCGCTTTGACTCAGTGGGGTTGGCCTTGGGTTTGTGTTTACTTTCCATCCGGGCCCTACAGAAAAATGTTCCCAGAATCCCCTTTCCACGCTCCCCCGGGAGGATTGTACTGAGCCAGGACTTTTGGAAGAATGAGAGGTTTCATGAAAGGCACAGGGCAGACAGAAGTCTGTGTCTCACGTGTTCTTTATGTCAGTGCAAACTGGATGTTTATGAGTTATGAGTCTTCCCTGAGTCCTGAGAAACTCTGCATTTGGAGAGAAGGTGCTTCTGACCTTTAGCGATGCTAATGAGGTAGGTGTGAGAGACATGAGTGGCGTGGTCGTTACCGGCCTGTCGATACCTGCGGCAGCCCTGCTCACAGCTCTGTCACCACCTGTCTGCTCATCAAAGGCCCATTGATTGCGCTTGGGCCGAGACACCACCCAGGCCCTCTGGGGAGGAGTCCAGCAGTCTGTCTCTCCTCCTCTGTCTGCCTCTCTGTTTCTTTTAGAAGCATGCCTGCAATGACTGTGATGTTCTAGCTCCTAATAAAAAACGAAAAATAGGTACCAAACATTATCATTTCCTTCCCCACACACCTCTTTAAAATACCGCAGCAGGGAATATTCACAGCAGTGCAGTGGCTCTCGGGCGCGGCGAGGCCGTGTGGAAGGCGCTGGGTGTCCCCCAGTCCCGCGGCCCCTCAGCCTGGCTGTGTCCTTACCTCAGGGTCAGAAGGTGAGACACAGCCGGGGCTGGAGGAGGAGCCAGGGATGGAGAGCACTTCCTCCAAGCCAGGGCCAGGCCAGCGCGTTGCTCATGCTGTCCTCCCAGGCGGTCTGTTCATCAGGAATTCCCCGCCTGCCCGAGAGTGAGTCACTGGCCCAGAGTCAAGCCCCAGGTCAGGTGTGCTTCTCAGTCGCCCCGGAGGCACAGAGTCTGTACTCACTCGGGGCGCTGAGAAACCGCCTGTGTGGGGAGGCGAGGGGCTGAGGGGCAGGATAGGGCGCTGGAACCCGGGGCGGACCAGGTGCGGAGCTGGATGGCAGGCCTGGGTGAAAGGCCAGAAGGGAGGAGGTGGAGCCAGGAGTGGGGCCTGGCCTGGCCGGCACTCAGCTCTGCGCGCACGTGCGTGTGTGTGTGTGTGTGTGTGTGTGTAAGATGTTTGAAAATGGCCAGTATCCCCCAATTTTATAACAACGACAGCAGGAATCTATTAAACCCTTACTGAGATCCAAATGCAGCCTTAAAAATAAAAGAAAAGCAAAACCAAACCCCTTTACTCTGAGACTGGCGCTCTGGACCCTTTTCCTCTCCGCTGGCATTGGCATCAAGCTCCATGCGGTGCCCAAGCCTGGGTTGTGGGGGGCTCCTGTGTGCCCCGCAGCCTCCTCCCGGTCCTCTGTCCCGGAGCCCACTGGCCCAAGGGCCATGCCACGTGGCACGCTGTCAGGGCCTGGCACGTGCTGAGGCACCCAGGTCTGCTTCCTGCCCCATGGAGGGCTTGGGTTGCCCATGCCTGGCCCCCCTGAGGGCCCCTGGATTCGTGCCTCGAGGGCTCGCTGCCTGAGCCCGCCTGGCAGGAGGGGGACTGGCTGTGAACCACACTTTTTCTCGGCCTGGTTTAGGTGCTCCGAAGACCTCTGTTCCTCCCAGACCTGTGATCTGGGTCCGTCCAGGGTGGTCCTGGGGCAGAGACCCCTGCTGGCTCCCTCCCCTGCACACCTTTCTGAAACCCTTCCTCACCCCAGGCATGGCTCTCTGCTCTCCCACCCTCCATTTTAGGACACTTTGTCCAGATGACAAGGCCGGGTACATCCCAGGTCCTTGGAGAGAAACACGCTGGCCGGTGCTGGGCTGACCAGCCCACCACATGGTCCTGGGAGGCATGGGAGGTGCAGAGTCGCAGGAGCATTCAGACCCGTCATTGTCACCAGTGTTTACCAGGCACAGCCCACAACAGCACTAAGCCAGGCACGCACAGGGCAACGCAGCTTCAGGCCTTTCCGTCCTGCCCTCGCCGTGCCTGGCTGCGTCACAGAACCAAGCAGGACCCCGGGTTCTGTGCTGTCACTGAGCTTTCACATTCAAAGAACGTTCGCAGTAATTCATGTCAGCCAGAAAAAGTCAAATGCGTAATTAAAACTGTTTCCTGGATTTGTTTTCAGGTCCAGTTTTGTTTTTAATTAGCAGACTTCACAGTGCTCATTTTCCGCGGTGCTGGGGACGGAACCCCGGCCTCGCTCCTGCCAGGCAGGCTCAGTGTGCAGGTCTGGGCCTGGGACAGGCAGCTGGGGTGGCTTACAGAGCGCCTGGGCCCTCCACACCCCACAGCCCTCCTGTGAGCCCAGTTGATAGCCGAGGGCATTGCTCAAGAGTGATGAGCCAAGGTGGGCGCGTGGCCGTCCACTCAGGCCCGTGGCAGACAGGCATTGGGGTGCACGCTGTACCTTGGTGCGTGTTTTCTCAGCAAGTGCTGGTGACACACGTCCACCGTCCCTGCGTCCTGGGACACCGCGCAGTCCCTGCCCTGGAGACGCCCCTGGCCTGCTCTCTCCCCACGCGCCCTGGGTCCCGCCGCTTCCGTAGTGCTGCCTTTCCCCCGCCACATGGCCACTCTTCCCCGCGTCCTCCGGCCCGCCACACAGTCATCAGTCAGGATGGCCTCACTCTGCAAGTGTTCTTTCTAGATACTGGTATTTGACTGTGAATTTGATGCTATAAATATTTACTTTCCCCGGGTTTCCAGTCCGTTTCTGTCTTTGGTTTCCCTCGTCGCTATTTCCTCAGGGGGCTCCCTGAAGGGCAGTGCTCAGTCCTTGGTGATGATGGTGTCCCCACCGCAGTGGCCCTGGCAGGGCACAGGGAAAGGTGACAAGGGGAGAGGCCCTGGCCGCAGGGTCAGGACTCCTGGTCCTGGGGACCCCTCAGCCTGCCCTGCCGGGGCTCAGCACCCTCTGGTTGCTCAAGGTCATCTGAAGGTGGGCGAAGGCAGGAGAGGAGAGCTGTGTCGCTACCGCAGGGAAAGCAGGGAGAATGAACCCGGCCAGGTCCGGCTGCCACCTTTCCCTGTGCAGCAGGCCCTGTGAGCGCCCCTGGGTGGTCATGATTTCTGTGGGAGGGGATGCAGAGCACCGGGAGAGAGAAGGCCAGGAGACGAGGGGAGCGGGCGTCCTCACACGCAGGACCGGCCGCCTCTCCCCAGAGCGCTCTGTGAGACAGCTCCTCTCTTGGCTTGTGCCAGAGTTTCCTCAGAGCCTGAGCCTGCCTCTCACCTGTTCCTCCTGGCCTGGACCCAGAGAGCTCTTCCCAGAACGCCCTGCTTCTGCCCACTTCCCTCTGCAGCACTGCCTGCTTCCTTGAAGTCGGTCGGGTGACGCCGCGCTCCCTGGGAAAGGGGACCTCAGGCACACTCCACCCTGTGACCCAGCAGAGGCTGCAGGGTTAGGCAGAGGTGGCGCAGTGACTCATGGCCCTGGAGTCCAGAAGCTGGACCCTTGGCATCTTCGGGTGTGAGGACCGCTCTCCCCCGCCAGGCTACTGTTGGGTTCCCAGTGTGCTGCTGGGAATCTCTTACCACCCAGCAGCTGAGTGTCCTGGCCCTGCTGCTGCATGGACGCCTTGACCAGGCCTTGTCCCCATGGCCCAGCATGGCAGGGGCTGTGCTGGCCTGGATGAGGCGGTGCCCTCGCCTTGGGAGCTGCTCTGCCTGCTCTGGAGTCACCAGGAGCTGGGGCCTGAGCGCTCAGCTTCCCGTCAGGGCCCGGGTCGCCATCCACACGGACGTCCAGGCCAGCCACTTGCTAAGGACCGCTGGCCATGGTCTCGCGTGACGCCATGGACTGACTGGGACAGAAGGAGCTATGATGCAGGGACTGAGGGAAAATGGGCCTGCAGGCAGAGCGAGCCTCAGCCTGAAAGTGCAGAGCTGCACAAGCACTGGTCAGGAATCGGCCAGGACAGGACGTCCCGGTGGCCAGGCCTAGCGGGCGCCATTTGCAGATGTGCAGTACGGTAGCCTAGGGCCTGTGGATCCTCCCCTGTGAAGTAGCAGGTGGCTGTTATCATGGCGTGGAGCATGATTTTAAGAATAATTTCTATTCTTAAGCAAGGTCTTCTTTTGAAAGAAACCATGCAGTCTTGAGCATTGAAGGAAGAAACAAAAGATGATAATAAAACCCAGACTGCAGCCCTGGCAGAATCGGGCAGTGACCTTGCCGTTTACCTCCGTTCCACGATCCAACGGCAGTCCACTCAGCCTGCTCTCGATCAATATCCTATTAAAGCAGCACAGAAAGTCTCCATAAACTTGGTGGTTAGCTGTGTTTATAAATGGAACTCAGCATAATTAGATGGTCAATAGCAGCCTCAACTAGTAACCCCAAAATGCACATCACACATTTTGTATCTGCAGAGCCATGGCAGCTCTTCTGGATTGAGGAGGATGGTGTATGGCAGGCAGAGGGTGGTGTCCCTTTGAAAAATCACATGTTTCCAAAATACAGTTTTTAGGGAAACTGTTTGGCTACATCATAGCAAATGTTGACTGGCTCTGTACATTTTGTCATTTTTCCTGTCTAAGCCACCTTATTCTCAAGATATTATGGCATTGCAAATGTCTCATTTTCTAGTTGTGATGAACCACTCACAAAGAGATAAAATAATAAATATTCCCATACTCTGAGAAAGAAAAGTATCAGTCTGGCTGGCTCCATTTAGCAGGTTTCTTCCACTGTACTCCAGTAAGTTTTCAGAATAAATACTAGAATTGGGTTAGTTCTGAAGGATGTTACATTGTATGATTCTATTCCTTTCCATATCGGGTTAGTATTTGGGTAGTAGAGATGGCAGCACAGAGCGGACTGGATAGCAGAGGTGTCCTCCCTGCCCAACTTCCCGAGTCCCAGCTCCCAGCTCGGTGGCCTGGTGGACCCCCCACCCCACCTACATCCTGGGTGGAGAGCAGCCCGCCTTCCTTTAGGGCAGCCTGGGTGAGGTTCTCAGGGC